AGTTTACAAAAGTATCAGATTACATAATTACAAAGCTGGATGTGAAAATGGGTGTGAATGCTGGTGTGACAAGGAAAAGATGGGAAGCAAGCAGTTTCTTAAAGCGACAGTAACACACTGGAATAAATATGGGAAGCAAGCAGTTTGTTAAAGCAACAGTTCAGCATGAAGCAATGATAATAAATGCAATTCTTCCAACACTGGCTCCACCTCCTCTCCAGGTATACCCAAGTAAACATGAGTCACAGCGCCTCCCTGTGACTCCGACTTTGCACTGACAGAGACCAGTTTCGGAGCAGTGAGGGGAAAGACTGCCCTCACTGTCACAGCCGCACTCTGGCACAGGCGGAGACATTTCAGTGTGATTATTACTGTTGTTTTTGAGGACACACTGCCTTATGTGCTAGTGTCTGTTTGTATGTGTGTGTGTATATGTGCCACTGACCTACGCAGACATTCTCATCGTCTAGTGACAGCAAAGGGTTCCTATAGTAACCGAGACGACAGTACTGACAGTTCTGTCCTCGTGTGTTGTGTTTACAGCTCACACACGTGACCATGTTGATGAAGTCAATGTAGCTGCAGCGATTGGAGTGTTCGTTACAGTCGCAGTCTGAAGGAAAGAGGGGAGGAGTGATAATTGTGTTTGTGAATATATGATACACATTCTTTCAATGCTAGGTTAAGCTAATCTTGCTACATGACTTGGACAGACATGTAGCAGTCAAGTTACACATTGACAAAATGTGGAAAACCAGGTTGGAGAAAGTCTCCGGACCATAATTCGTTTGTGGAAAAAAGTAGGGATGACGTCCAATTGTAGTGTCACATGGAATCATTGGTATCGTCTAGAGGGGTGGGGGGCAGGGGTCAAGGGTGAGGGACGAGTGCAGGCAGTCTTACCCAGGAAATTGACATAGGCGATTTTGGAGAGTTGACTGAACTTTGGTCTTCCTGGAATCAGAATCTTCTGGACTGCTTAAGATCAGACAAAACGTTGTTGTGACCGTGGCAGTGCACATCATCTGTTGATGCTGCACCTACAAAAGCTACACCTAACTCTAGAGTCAAGAAAAACTGAACGACATACGCTAGCTCATTGGCTACGGGAATATTTCTTAGCTACAGGGATGCTATGGTGGCTAACCTATTTTGTTGTGGTGTACCTTTTTTCTCATAGTCCGCATTCTTCTTCTTTTATTCTTTTCTTTTATCCTCTTTTTCCTCCCTTGATTCCTCTTTGACTTCCTTCCTCTCTGAAGCTTTGGTTTTTGACAAAGGGGGGACAAAAATATGGTAAAAGAATTTCCTGATTCTCTTATGAGCTAAAAGGGCTTACAGTAGCAGCTGCACACATTGTACATCCATCCATCCATCCATTTTCATCCGCTTATCCGTTACCAGGTCGCGGGGGCAGCAGTCGCCACCCAAATCACACTGCACCGTACCAAGCCCCCTAAACCTTCCTGCGGGAGGTGAGTCCACTGGAAGGTAACAACCACCCTAACCGGGATTCGAACTTTCCCAGGAGGTGAACCCTGGGGTTCCACACCAATGACCAACTCTTCTGATGGGACTACCAGCATCTGAAGTCCTGCCACTTAACACTTCCTCCTTCTGTGTTTCTGAAGGTGACAAACCCACTCTTGAATCTTCTATTTCGGAAGTAGACACTGGCCCAGATTCTTGATTTGTCGTGGGAGAGTTTGTCTCTTTTGATTTCTCTTCACCATTTTCTCCAATTTCTTGACCTGCTAAACGGTAACACCACGAATTTACACAAACATATGAAAAAAGCTCACCCTACAGAGAGCAACGAGCTGCAAGCAAAGAAGTTGAGGGAGGAGGGGGGGGATCCCCAAGCCAGAACACCCCCGCGGACACAGAGACAATGTACTCTGGCAGATGCTTTTCAGCCAAAAAATCAACAATACCCAGGTCAGGGTTATAAACAAACAAACTTCGCAAAAGTTTTGGTTGTCTGCTTCGCACCAGCTTTTTACGGGTAATTTTAGTACGCAGCAATAATTAAACAAGTTCTCGATGTAACAGAATTGGCATCAAACCATTTTTTTTCCTAATTAGTCAATTAAATTGAAGAATAGCTGCAGCCCTAGTTTTATTGGAACCCAAAAATATAGCTACCCATATAAAGATAGGCTCTATACCTCAAACCTGAAATATGAATATTACTGACTATAATAACTCTTTAGTGTTAACTGTTGAAGGAAAAGTAGCATTCCTATTTAGGCTATTTTCAGATTACAGTTACAGACTTAATCATTTTGTCATTTCACCTAGATAATTCACAAAGAGCCAAGGACATCACAAAGAGTATTGCCATGATGATCGTGAAGGACCTACAACCCCTCTCTGTGGTTGAACAGGAGGGTTTCAAGAATTTAATAAAGACACTTGATCCCCGCTACAGGATGCCAAGTAGGAAATTTTTCATGGGAGAAAAAATACCTTCATTGTATGAAGAGTGTTGTTCTAAAGTTAAAAGGTGTCTGGATGCTGCTCACAGCGTTGTACTGACCACTGACATGACTAAGCATCCACTTATTTATAAAGCAAAGACAGTGGCTCGTTACAATTACGGGCTACCACAGAGTTCTACTGCTGCAAAAAAAATTTTAGTGATAGTGGTTTGTGTTGTCATGGGGGTGGATTGGGGTGTAAGAAAATATTGATACACTGAAATATCTTAATGTATTATTTCACAATAGTGTATTGATATTCTACATCACTGTATCTTTTTTTTATAATTAATAGTTAACATGAAAATATTCTTGGTGTTGGTTCATTTCATTTTTGCTTTTATTCCTTTTGTAGTGATTACAAATGTAGCGCCGATGCTCTTATTTACACTTAAACATCAAGAACATATTTACTATTTACATATTATTACTGTAAACAAAAATAGGCCAGGATTCAATGCAAATGCTTTATCATGTTTTTAGGATTAAGATTAAGATTTCCTTTATTGGACCCACAGTGGAGAAATTGACAGTGTTGACAGCAGCAAAGTACAATATGCGGTATAAAGAGTGAAGTCTAGCATAGTGCTTTACAAATAAGATATCAGCTTGCAATTTTGTAGTTTTCCAGTTTACAGGTATAGTTACTTTGAGATATTGCAATTGAGATAATAAATCAATTAATTATAGAAGATAATAATACAGAGAAACAAAGACTGTACATAATGACAGTCAAACAATTTGACATGTTACGATTTTTACCATTATACTTAAATAAACAGGTGAGTGACATTCCACATGAGAATGGACATTTTTGCTATTACACAAGGTAATGCTAGTTATACAGTTATTGCACATATACAGTTTTAGTATGGTGTATTGATGACTACATACCCTGATCACTTCCCTCTGTATCTGTCTCTGGTCTCTCTGTCCTACTGTCACCTCCTTCATCTTGAAAAGGTGATTTCTCACGGCAGCTAGGAGCACACACAGGGAACAAGTGGAGCAAATCCGCTTTCTTCTCGTTCTCCAAACCAGCAGACAGTTGGCAGGTATGTCCATCACTTGATATGGTCACATATGTTTATTATTAAAAAACTATTTCACATGGTGTTTAATGACAACATGAGACACGTGTATCTGTCTTTCTTGCCTGCAGTATGTGGTTTATAGACCTGGCAGGAAGTGAAAGGGCATCAGACACCAAAAAAACAAACAGACACAGTCGCATAGAAGGAGCTGAGATCAACCAAAGTCTCTTAGCAGTAAGCTAAGTAAGTGATATGTTAACACACACAAAGAGCTCAAATACAGAAACAAAGGTCATTGTATTTACCTTTTATTTGTTTAAAGCTCAAAGAATTGTAGGTGCAATGGGTCGAGTGCTGCTTAGGAGCACTCGGTGTTATCAACCAGTCTCAAATTAATAACACAACCAGTCTCATTAAAGTTATCTTTAATTATTATTTTAACCTACTAATATAGCAATAATGTATTACTTTAAGTATTACAAATATACTAAAATCAATAGTATCCAATAACAATTAAATATCTGAAGGATTTTGAGAGTTCTTGGCAAATTGGGTGGCTTCAATGAATAAAGTAACAACACAGACAAATACAGTTTACAAAAATAATCAAATTTATTTATACAACACTGTCAAGTTAATGACGGTGATTGAACTCATAAACAATGATCATTATAACAAAACAAGGCGTGTGTGTAGGGGTGTGTGTGTACTTATGTGCGTGTGTACACGAGCGGTCGTGTACGAGAGAGAAAGAGAGAGAGAGATGTTGCCTCTCAGCTACCAAGCAAGCGACTGAGCCCTTGAGGCGTGTTCACATACGCGACTGCGCAGTGGAAGAAGAACTGCGAGGTAGAAGGAACGGCAACAGGAAACACGTGAGGCGTGTATGCGCTCACGGAGGTGTGAATGGGTGTTGTGTACGCGCACCAAGATGCGCTCAGGTACAATGAAACAGTGCTTGTGATGTTATCAAAGTATATGGGGGAAGGGAGGCGTACCGCGTGGTCTACTCCAGACAAAGGACTTTGTCGGAGTTTTCCTGATCCCAATACTGATAACGTTCCAAGTTAACACTGAAATACTGACGGTGTACAAGAGTATAACACCGAGTCAGGAGGTTAGAAAAGAAGTGCATGCAACAGCCTAGCTATAAAAGCAGCACAGATTTCAGACAACAAAATTCAATATGCGTACTTAAACTGTTCCTCAGTTTAAATAGCACTTAACAATACTACAGGTTAACTAACGTGCCCAAATGCCAGCCTTACTGTAGTGAACGTCTGCTCGTATTGAGAGGGTAGTGGAAAGTCCGCACTTCTTGGGTCCTTGCCAGAGCTGGGGACGTCCGTCTGGTTCCACTGTGTCCAGAGAGTCCTCTTGGTTCCGAAAGTCCGTTTCGGGAGGAAAAGTCTCTGACTGTCGATGTGCCGGTTCACACGAATACCGTTAGAAGGAATCCTGTCGCTTCTAAACTTTTCAATAACTGCTTTGGTCGCAGCGCTACGTTACTTGTGTAACTTAATTACCGGTTAACTCAGTTAAGAAAAAGACGCTACTAGTGCATTTATCACCGTGGGCAATGGTGTCTACAAAAGCGCGTTGGTTCTTAGTCTTCTGAGACGAGCAGGTTTCTCTTATCATCAGGGTCCTACGGAGCGAAAGTCCTGAACAGAGAGAACAAAACCTGGGCTGTACCCCGGTTTTAAGGGTTGCGGAGGTCACTGGGTGTGACGTCAGTGGTCCCTCCCGGAAGCAGTGGGATTTTGGGAATAAGAGTTTTAACTGGGCTGTGGATGTACCTACAAACGGTAGGAGTAGGTTCTGCACCAGCTACGGTTGACTCCTCACCAACACTTGTACTGAGGAAGTAGGTTGTGAAACCACCACTGGTTATGTCAGCTGTAGCAGTGCCCCTGGTGTCTGTTGTAAGGAATGCATCGGGTGAATCGGTAACAGCGAGAGAGATGTCTGTGCTTGTAAACAGTACATCTGTAGACCATGTGTCCACTAAAGCAGTACTGGTACTACCTCTGGTATTAATGAGGTCAGAATTGTAAGTTGTAGCTGCAGGAGAGGCAGAAACTAAAGTCATAGAGAAGGTACTGTCGGTTGCAGTCGCAGTGATGGTGTCAGTAGTTGTAGCAGTAGATGTAGGTATCCAAATATCAATAACAGAAGTCTGGGTCGTGGGTAAGGTACTGTCTGTAGTAGCGATAGTAGCAGCTGTAGTAACAGTCGTCGTGTCAGTCACTCCATCTGATGAGGCAGAGGGTCTGTCGTCAGAGTCACCAGCCGCTGTCAGAGAAGAAGAGTTATGAGCATTTAATAAGGCTACTCTCTACAGAACATAAGGGAAAAGTAGAAATATTTAAACCACTACTGACAGAAGACTTCTACACTACTGGCTGCACTGCTGCTAGAAAAAAAAAGTGATATTATGTTGTTTTTTGTTGCATTATAGGTGAAAAAATAACAGTGACACTATGTTGTTTTGTGCTGCAGGTATCTCATATTTGTTAATACATTTTTACTCTCGTGGTACATGATCCCCGGTTTGATTACTGTGAAGATTGTTGTTTGTGTCTGACCAGAAGTGTGTTAATTGAAACACCAGTTTCAATTAACACACACAAGTGCAAAAACTCATTCAACATCACAGCAGCCTATTGATCGGCCTCTTTTCTGTTTGTTCTAGTGTCGACTCAATTGATATTTCACGTCACAGTTGCATCTTGGGAGATGTTGTAATATTAATAAAGATCTTCACTGAACTAATCGTATTATTGTTATTAATAAGGTAGATTTTCATTCCTGTGAAAACGTGAGTTGCCTGTCGTGTGTGTGTGAGTGTGTGTGTGTGTGCCGTTGTGAGATTACAGACTAACACCCTTGTACACAGATTAACACACACACACACTCGCCATCTGCTGGAGTGTTAACCTGCTCTTAGTCTCGTGACTCTCTCAGATTAGTGGTTGCGGATTTGTGATCAGTGACCAATTACCTCTTTACTGACAGACAAATGTTAGTGTCTTTTAAAAATACAGAAAATACTCAGTAATACAGTAGCACTTGGTGTACGATGCTGTGAAAAAGGACTTCGTTAGACCCTTAAGGTTGTGTCAACATCAGTGGCCAATAAAAATGGTGGGACTGACATGAACAACAGACTGGTGTACTTACTGGCTCCTGTTTCTTCTGCTTCACCTGGAATAACATAGAACACGTACATTGTCAAGTTTCACCTGTTAAGGTAATGGTTTATTGTCCACAAGAATCAACAGATGTTTTTAAAATGCATCATATAGGCTGCACTAAATATAGGCCACATCTATAGTGCTATTTTTGCATAGTTTTATATATACACTGTATATATG